GGTCGTCATGTTAGGAGACTCACCCTGTATACATTAAAACGAATATAAATGATTAGTGGGCTCTCGGAAATTTCGGAAATCCCGATTCTTTCGGGAATCTCGATTATTTCGAGAATCCCGACTCTTTCGAGAATCCCGACTCTTTCGAGAATCCCGACTCCTTCGAGAATCCCGACTTTTTTCGGGAATCCCGAAAATTTAAACGTCTCGAAACTATCGGGAACCCGACCCGACCCGACTCGACCTCTTCCCGATTCGTCCCGACCATCGGGTTCCCGATGTTTTCGGGGTCTCGCACATCCCTAGTTTCTCTATATCTTGGTATGTATCTATGTATGTAATATATATAAGCAACTTTACTTTTTCATTATGTCATGTGATATTAATTATGTTAATATTTATAAGGATAAGTGTAATTCATAAAAGACATTACATTATTGACAATTATACTTCGTAAGAAATATTAATTTTAAAATCTGTGAATTGTAGGCAGTATTAATATTGATAACTGAATTAAAACTAAAGTTTTTAACAATTAATAATAAACTTGTGCTACTGTTTGGCTTGGCTTCAAAGTTTGAATCAAATAACAGTACTTATAACATAGTATTTTTCAGTTAAATATAAATACAAGTTTATATAAACAATTCATAGTTATCGAAAGAAACCTTTGTTATTGTAGACCGTTAGATTTGTTACTTTGTAGACCGTCAAAGGAGGCCGTGGGCCGCGGGCCGTGGGCCGCCAGTTCGGACCGGGTGCAAAAATCGATCGGCTGCACGTGTCCGTGGAACATCGTCGAACGATCGAGAAGGTTCCACGGCACGCGCCGGGAAGTTTTGCACCCGGTACGAAAGAGCCAAAAGACGATCGGATCTGGGGATATATAAGCCCGGGCCCCGATCGCCAGAGGGTCAGAGTCAGAATCAGAGATCGTCAGTGTCAGTCAGTTTTGTGTTATTCAGATCTCCGTTGATTTGTCGGTCTGTACCCTGATATAAAATAAAGAACATTTTAACCTGAATTGTGAGTACCAAAGTTCCTACCACCTCTCCAATTGTCTACAGAAATTCAGAAGTGGGATAAAGAACTTGTTTCCTCTTGACGAGATACGATCGCGAGCGACTAAGTGAGAATTGTGTTAATTGTCTCGCTCAGCAGTCTGATCGTGGAATAATTGCGTCTCTCGACATAGGGTAGTGCGGTTAACATATTGTGTAGCGAGAGGATCCAGCATTGGTGCAATTGTGTGAACTCGAGCGACGTTAATCGTACCAGCAACATGTCGAAGGATTACACGAGTAACGAGTTGAAAGAGTTTCTGCGTGTACGAAATTTGGCAGTGTCGGGCTCAAAATCAGAATTGATTCTGAGATTGGAGGAGTTCGATAGTGACATTTGGAATGTAATTGCGGCGGGGAAAGAAATGGCCCAGCAACGACGAGAGGAGGAAGAAGAAGCAACTAGACCGGTTGTTCGGGACGGCAGACACAGGGAGAGCGATCTGGCAGCACGAGAATTGGAACTAGTGCGGAGAGAACGCGATCTTCTGCAGCGGGAAGTTGAGCTCCTGCGCCGTGAACAAGCTGGATTGAGTAATCGATTGATGGACAGCCCAGGATTGTCAATGGGTAGCAGTCAGGGTGCTTCGTCCAGAAATATGAGTGTACGTGCCATCAGCGATTTATTGGGTGAATTTGATGGCCACGACGGCACGTATTGGAAGTGGGAGCAGCAGGTACGACTTTTGCGAAACACGTATGAGCTAGACGACAAGGCCACACGAATTTTGGTTAGCTCGAGATTGAAGGGACGCGCCGCCAGTTGGTTTCACTCAAGAGCGGAACATCTCGTAATGGACATCGAGACGCTGTTGCAGGAGATGAAGTCCATGTTCGATCATCGTCCGAATAAGTTAGCGGCGCGCAAAGAGTTCGAAACCAGGGTGTGGACCGCAGGCGAGCGCTTCTCGGATTACCACCACGATAAGGTGATTTTGGGGAATCGAGTACCGATCCCGAACGATGAATTAATTGATTACCTCATCGACGGGATCACCGACTTGCGGCTTCGGGACCAGGCCCGAATATTACGGTTCCGAACCACGGCAGATTTATTGGAGGCGTTCGAGAACATTACAGTCGAACCAAAGAAGATTGTTCCCGGTGAACGGAAACAAGTTATCAACAAGTGGCACAGCGACCCGAGGGAGAGGCAGAAGCCGGAGGCGCAGAGGAAACCAGTGCGGTGTTTCAACTGTGGGGAACCCGGACATATTTCCCCGAGATGCCCAAAACCGAAACAAAGAGAGTCCGGATCCTGTTTTGGGTGCGGGTCGACGGCCCATCAACTCGGGAATTGCCCGCGACGAATGCCGAATCTGCGAGAAGGAAGCAGCGCACGGAGGGAACCGAGCGCGACCACTTCAACAAACATGGTTCAACCAACCCTTCCAGCGCCGTACCTCCTCCAGCTGAGTTATAGCGTAATTGATAAGAACAATCACTATTGTAAGTATGTATTAAGCGCCATGTTAGATTCCGGATCGCCGATTAGTTTTATTAAAAATAGTTTTGTCCCGGTAGAAGCGCGGACTCCGTTGCCGAATAACATTCAGGAATTTGCGGGAATCAACGGCTCGCGAATGGAAATTTCAGGCCTTTTTAATTGCGAAGTCGACGTAGAGGGAATCCCTATTGAATTAACATTTTACGTAGTTCCGGAAGATACAATGTCGTTTATGGCAGTACTCGGTCGGGATTTTTCCTCCCACCCATTGGTGAAATTGTCTTTCGAGGACGGGCTCGTAGTATCTCGGAGAAGTAAATCGCTAAAAGAAGTAGACGTAGCCACAACACAAATTATGAATATCGATTGTATTAATGAACCGTTTACCACTTCCGAGAAATTGGCTATTAATCCCGAAATTGACCCCGCGATTGTTGAAGACATTAAGGACTCATACGCGGTAGATTACATAAAAACGATGAATTCGAGTACGGAACACGTCGATTTCGAAATGAAAATTGTCCTGAAACACGCACAGCCAATTAGTTTTAGACCGCGACGACTTTCGTACGCGGATAAGGAGAAAGTGCAAATTATTTTAGACGATTTGTTGAAACGGAATATAATACGGCCGAGCGAATCTCCGTATAGCAGTCCGATTGTTTTAGTCAGGAAAAAGAGCGGCGAAACTCGACTCTGCGTGGACTACCGCGAACTAAATAAAATCACGATTAAAGATAATTTCCCCAGCCAATTAATTGACGATAACATTGATCGATTGAAGGGTAAACGCTACTATACCACACTTGACTTGAAAGACGGCTACTATAATGTTCGCATGGCGGAAGAATCGGTCGAATCCACATCTTTTGTAACGCCTCTCGGACAATATGAATTCTTGTATTGTCCCTTTGGGTTAACCAATGCGCCGAAAGTTTTTGCACGGTTCATTAAGAAGCTGTATTCGGATCTAATCAGAACAGGGAAGGTGCTAGTCTATTTCGACGACTTTTTGATTGCCACCGAAACTCTTGACGAACATTTGCAAATTTTACGGGAAGTCTTCCAAATTGCCGGGAAAAACCGATTAGTTTTTAAATTGAATAAATGTACTTTCGCGCAGACAGAAATCGATTATTTAGGATACCGAGTGGACGTTCAAGGGATTCGACCGAACGACAGCAATATTGAGTCTGTTATCAATTATCCGATACCGCGCAACGCGAAGGATGCGCTCCGTTTTGTATCCCTCGCTAGCTACTTCCGTCGTTTCATACCAGGATTCTCGCTTATTGCGAAGCCTTTATACAATTTGGTTAACCCTTTGGGTACATTTGACGTCTGAGACACGTCATTCACTTTTTTCCCCTAGGAGCGGATGACGTGTCTAAGACGTCAAACCAAAAATTAAACTCCTGGGTACATTTGACGTCTGAGAGACGTCATTCACTTGTTTTCCCTAGGAGCGGATGACGTGTCTAAATAAAAAAGATAAGAGATAAAAAAGACGTTCACATACTTAGCACGAAACATTCAAATGCTGATTTGATAAACACAGGCAAAAGGAGAAAAAATAAAGTTGGCGATAGCGAAAATATTATAAAACCGGCATCTGTGCTTGAGTATAATAAAGGTATGGGAGGCGTTGATAAACAAGACCAATTGCTAGCGTGCTTCCCAGTTATGAGAAAATGTGTAAAGGGTTATAAGAAAATGTTTTTTTATCTAATAGATATGGCCTTTTATAATGCTCATGTTTTATATTCTAAAATCAACTGCACAACCAAGGCAGGCATTACTTCCTTTCGTTTAGCTATTGCCGAAGAATTGCTGGAGCAATTGTCATTGCCAAATTATAAACGTCGTGGACGTCCGTCAAGTAGCGATACACCATTTCGTTTGGCAGCGAAAAATTGGGCGCACTTTCCTGAGAACATTCCGTCAACTAAGTCCAAGCAACACCCTGGAAAAAGGTGCCGTGTTTGTTATAAGCATAATATTAGGAAAGAGACTACGTGGCAGTGCAAACAATGCAAAGTAGCACTGCATTTACCTACTTGCTTTGAAAAATATCACACTCTGCATAATTATTAGTAATTGGTTTTTTGTTATAGCTTGAATTTATTTCATTTAGTTTTATTTTGTTGTTATTAATTAATTTTTGTTTTGCAATTCTAATTACTTGAAGGCATCTTAATACTACATATGTCACCAATATTTTAGAAATAAATAAATTCTTACGTAAAATGTACTGCTTTTACATACTACTCCAAGCAACCAAAAATTATATCCGTTCCACATGCAAATATTTTCTCAAATAAATCCGTACCCAAGGGGTTAAGCAAGGGGCTAAGTTCATATTCGGGGAAAAAGAAAACGAGGCCTTCGAGACCCTGAAAAGGCAATTAGCAAGTAAGCCAATTCTCTCTATTTACTCCCCGACCGCCGAAACGGAACTTCATTGTGACGCTAGCGCATCGGGATTTGGCGCAATGTTGCTCCAGAAGCAGGGAGACGGATATTTTAAACCGATCGCGTATTATAGCCAACGGACAACACCGACGGAAGCGAAGTACCATAGCTTCGAGCTGGAGTGCCTCGCGGTAGTGAACGCGCTAAAACGTTTTAAAGTCTACCTGAGCGGAATACGGTTCCGAATTATTACCGATTGCGATAGCTTCCGTTTAACACTAGGTAAGCAGAACGTGAATCCAAGAATTTCTCGTTGGGCTTTGTACCTGCAGGATTTCGACTACGAAATTCACCATAGACCGGGGAAAAGAATGAATCACGTAGATGCGCTCAGCCGTTGTCACAGCGTGCTAGTAATTGAGGGCAATACCTTCGAGCAAACACTGTCGGTGTGTCAAAATAAAGATCCCGAGATAGGAAAAATTCGAGACCAGTTGGAAAAGGGGGAGTTAAAGCAATTCGAACTTCGCGACGGACTCGTGTACCGGAAAGATAGGACAAAGAAGCTGCTATTTTACGTACCGCGATCGATGGAAGATAACGTGATTCGTACGTGTCACGACGATCTCGGGCACGTAGGGCAAGACAAAGTTGTTAGTAATCTCGGGAAATTGTATTGGTTTCCGAACCTGCGGGAAAAGGTTAAGGAGTATATTTGTAATTGTTTGCGATGTATTGAATTTTCGCCATCGGATGGTAAACAGACGGGACATCTGCATAGCCTACCTAAAGAAAGCGTGCCATTTCACACCATCCATCTGGACCATTTAGGGCCACTAGAGAAGACAGGGAGGGGTTACAAACATACATATACTGGCTATAGTTGACGGGTTTACAAAATTCATTAAACTATACCCATGTAAGTCAACCGGTTCCCAAGAGGTAATCAGGTTTTTAAGGGAATATTTCCGGGCCTACAGCAGACCGGAACGAGTAATTACCGATCGCGGAACCGCGTTCACATCAAGCGGTTTTAAAGACTTTTTAGAGACCGAGGGCATTGGCCATATTTTGATTGCGGTTGGTACACCTCGGGCAAATGGGCAAATAGAGCGGTTCAATCGTGTAATAACTCCGATGATAGCAAAGTTGAGCGAAACCCCAAATAAATGGGACCGTGTGCTTGAACAGGTCGAATTTGCGATAAACAACACAGTTTGCCGAGCGACGAAAGACACGCCTAGTCGATTATTGTTTGGCGTTGAGCAGGCAGGAAAGCCACACGACTACCTGCGGCTTTTGATACGGACGGCCTCAAGCGAAAATAGGGCCTTAGAGGAAATCCGCGGGAAGGCAGCGGAAGCCATTCGGAAAATACAAACAATCAATGAAAATTATTATAATAGGAAACATAAGGAGGCATTTGTGTACAACGTAGGAGACTACGTCATGATTAAAAATGTCGATACGTCAGCGGGCGTAAACAAAAAACTATTGCCTAAGTTTAAGGGGCCATACGAGGTAAAGAAAGTTTTAGATTGCGACCGATATGTAATTGGGGATATTGACGGATTCCAAATAAGCCAAAGGCCTTACAGCGGCGTTTTATCACCGGACAATATGAAACCGTATATCGCGACATGACATTGGCCTTTTGCGATCGGGTTAGCCGAGACGGCTAACAGGTCAGGATGGCCGAACTGTAGACCGTTAGATTTGTTACTTTGTAGACCGTCAAAGGAGGCCGTGGGCCGCGGGCCGTGGGCCGCCAGTTCGGACCGGGTGCAAAAATCGATCGGCTGCACGTGTCCGTGGAACATCGTCGAACGATCGAGAAGGTTCCACGACACGCGCCGGGAAGTTTTGCACCCGGTACGAAAGAGCCAAAAGACGATCGGATCTGGGGATATATAAGCCCGGGCCCCGATCGCCAGAGGGTCAGAGTCAGAATCAGAGATCGTCAGTGTCAGTCAGTTTTGTGTTATTCAGATCTCCGTTGATTTGTCGGTCTGTACCCTGATATAAAATAAAGAACATTTTAACCTGAATTGTGAGTACCAAAGTTCCTACCACCTCTCCAATTGTCTACATTATAGAATAAAATACTGTTATCTGAATAGAAGAGCATTGTTATATCCTTACATACTTAATATATAAACCTGCACACTACCTTATATAAAGGGCCTGGCGGGATATGCATATGAAAAATGCCCCCGAACAGATTAGTTTGATTTTTAGCTAGATATTACTTCTAGATATGTATATAACTTTCCTTAATTTTGAACCCGAAATATGCATTAATTTTTAAGTTATTTAACGATAAAGAATTTTACAAAATATTTTTTAATTGAAAAACTACCTGTCCAAAAATTCTGAAAAAAATATATGTTGTACATACATCTGCCGCCCATCTAAAAAAAAATTGTTTTCTTTAATTTGTTTATTGCAAATGTTATAAAAAAGGTAATATTTATTTTAATCATTTTTTTAAGTGCTTTATCGTTTTGGTACCACAAACATATTTTGTACATATATGTATTAGACATTTCTGTGTAACATATATTTTTTTCAAGTCGATTGTTGTAGTAGAATGTATTCAAATATACTAAAAATGGGTGTAGCACGCGGAGCGCAAGGAGGCTGCATAGTCGCGCGGCGCGGCGTAACTCAGACTCGATCGCTACATAGCAATTAATTATGATATTAAGCAGAATAATAATATGCAATGTTATGAATCTCAAGTTGCGCTATGATCGTATGCGCATTACGCCAACACTGGCTGCGGATATCGTACATTAAACAATAGACAACAGCCTTCCATTCTTGCATTTGTTTGCCCAAACAAAAGTGAAAGCTATTTGATACGTAGTAGATGCTATTGAGCTGTACGTTTATTTTTATTAGTTATATATAATCTTGTTATATCTTGTTAGAAATATGTCAAACGCTGAGAAATGTGCTTCCTGCAATAAATATGTCATCAAAGTATCGCCGCGCAAAACGATCGTGACATCCCAAAAAATGGCGGAATTCTTGACGCAATATCTAAAATCTCAAATTGTGTTACATGATGTTTTATGCAACAATTGCCGAATAAAAGCATATAAAAATAAGAAAACCGACAGTGCTTGTGATAATAATAATGAAAATGATGTGATTGTGGAAAGCTCAGTCTCATCTTCATTTGATGATCCAGATTTTAATATTTCACTTATGGAATCAGCTAAAGATGACGTTATAAAGATTGAAGTCCCCATAAAAAGAACTGTTGCAACACACAAATATTGTTTTATTTGTAATGATACAAAAAATATTCATGTTATTCCGTTTGAAGCAAGATTACAAATATATATTAAGATAAAAATCTATGTTCCTAAAGGGAATCGATGTTGTCGAAAACATTTAATTAAAAATAAATTGTATAATGACGAATTGAAACATATATCCATTTATTCACATTTTAGTTCCATTGAGCCTGTAGAATTACAACAATTATTAAATAGTTTAGCAATTACTTGTGATTCAACATTGTTTGACAAAATTGGTGATTTTAATATGCCAGAAGAACAATTATTCATATTTACTGGCTTAACGTGGGAGAATATTATAGAATTGAAGACAATGTTAATATCAATGAAGAATTCAGCATCTCGAAATGTTACACAGGCTATTATTATTTTTTTATTTAAATTACGAAGTGGTAACGCAAATGAAACAATTGCTTCTATTTTTCAGTTAGAACATAAACAATTAGTTTCAGATTATTCAAATGCAGTCATGAATGCGTTTGATAAAGATGTTCTTCCCTTAAAGTTTGGTTTAAAATCTGCGACTAGGGAATATCTAATTAATAATCACACTAGTAATGTAGCTAAATCGTTGTACGACATTGATAACAAATTACTATTAATTTGTGATGGCACTTACATACGACACCAAAAAAGTTCTAATAACGAGTATCAACGAAAGTCATTTTCTGGACAAAAAAAAGTGCCTCTGTGTAAACCATTTACCATATGTACAACAGATGGTTATATTGTAGACATTCTAGGCCCATATTACGCTACTCAAAATGATGCGTCAATAATGAAAGAAATAATGACCGAATCAAATGGATTATGTAATTTAATGAAAAAGGGGGATATTTTTATACTCGACCGTGGTTTCAGAGACGTTAAAAATATGTTAACTGAACAAGGTTATGGTGTACTAATGCCAGCTTTAAAAGGGAAACGACCTCAGTTGTCAACTATTGAATCAAATGATTCACGATTTGTAACAAAACTACGATGGGTGGTTGAAGCCATCCATGGAATACTTAAACAAAAATATCGCCTTCTGGACAGAAAATTAGACAATAAAATGTTACCTAAAATTGGGATTTATTGTAAAATTGCATCATTTTTACAAAATCGTTATGGCAAACGTTTAAACTCCGATGCGGGACGATTGGATATTATTGCCCAAATGAAAGAAAAAAAGAATCAAGAAAACTCATTGTCGGAAGAAATAGAAAAGCACGGATGGAGCAGAAAAAAATTAATATTTAGCGATATATCTACTTCAGATATTTTCGATTTTCCGGAAATGATGGAAAATGATTTACATATTTTATTCACAGGCTCATACCAATTCTCCCAAGCTATCTCGTATTTGGCAGAAATATTGAACGCGGATGGTTCAATTACTGCAAAATATGTCAAAGAAAGAAGTAATATTTTTAAATTATCTGTAAAATCTCGACATATAAACAAAAAAACATATCGCTGTTATATAGAATATTTGCCAAATACTATAGGACATTCAGGAGTGACACGATATGCTTGCGAATGTGCAAGTGGCAAAAGAACAGTTGGTTGCTGTTCGCATGTAGCTGCATTAATTTATTATTTAGCTCATGGCAGATATTTATCAAAAATTCTCAAACCAGCTGAAATTTTGACGAATTTATTTACTAAAAATGAAATACATCCAATAATAAATGAAAATAGTGATATTGACGATTAAGTATTTTGTACTAATAAATAATAAAATTATTGCTTGCAACAATTAATTTTACTACGTGTGCTACTGCTTCTTACTACCATTCGTACAATTATTATTCTGCTTAATATCTTCATTAATTGCTAGTGTAGCGATCGAGTTTGAGTTACGCCGCGCCGCGCGACTATGGCAGCCTCCTTGCGCTCCGCGTGCTACACCCATTTTTAGTATATTTGAATACCTTCTACTACAACAATCGACTTGAAAAAAATATATCTTACACAGAAATGTCTAATACATATATGTACAAAATATGTTTGTGGTACCAAAACGATAAAGCACTTAAAAAAATGATTAAAATAAATATTACCTTTTTTATAACATTTGCAATAAACAAATTAAAGAAAACAATTTTTTTTTAGATGGGCGGCAGATGTATGTACAACATATATTTTTTTCAGAATTTTTGAACAGATAGTTTTTTCAATTAAAAAATATTTTGTAAAATTCTTTATCGTTAAATAACTTAAAAATTAATGCATATTTCGGGCTCAAAATTAAGGAAAGTTATATACATATCTAGAAGTAATATCTAGCCAAAAATCAAACTAATCCGTTTGGGGGCATTTTTCATATGCATATCCCGCCAGGCCCTTTACCTAATACCTATTGTAATAGACGGATCCCGGCCAGATTATTATATACGCTGGCTCGGCGTAGAGGAGAAAAGAAAAACAACAGCACAACGTTTCAACCTTAATATATTTCTCTCTGGTCGTGAAGCAGATCGGGAAGGAAGACGGAAACGAATCAAATCACCAATTCCAATAGCAGTTACAATCTAGGATACATACATACGTAAAGAATTCCGCTCTTATCTTCTAACGCTTGACGGTGAAATTAACAAACAAATCGAACTAAATCAAAACATTTTTTAGGCTTTCGCGGCCATAGTGGTATCCAGAGTATCAGAGATTATTTGATTCCCTGATGAAGCTAGCTGCAATGCTGGTGAAACGTCGGACTTTCTCGTCTTCTGAACGCGGCTCCAACCCGGAAGCCAATTCTAGTAGTAAATCAAAACAATCGAATCTAACTATACATAATTAAACTAAATGGCTACAATTGGTCATAATAATAATTTATAGAAACCAAATTGCAGAAAAAGTAGAGAAAATACAGGAGAAATACATAAGATGAACCTATTTACTACTTAAAAAGTAGTATAATGCTATTAATTTTGCTGATATCTCAGGTTTCAATCGATTTCTTTTAGTACAGTGTACTAGTGTCCATTGAGAAAAAAGTCTCTCAAGTTCTGCTGTGGATGCAGGAATATTCAATAATTTCTCTGCTAATGAACTTAAATCTTCATAAAATGGTTTTGCAGTTCTCCAAAAAACATTCGGAGATTTGTATCTCTTTTGTGAAATTTTTCTAAACATACCAGTTTCATTTTTATATTTTTCTAGTTGCTGCAAACCATTTTCATTTAAATTATTTTTGAAGAAGTTATTCATCATGTTTATGTAATATTGATTTTGAACAAATCTACTTCCTCTATATGTTTGATGCAAAAAATTTGCAGCTAATCCGTAGGGATTTATAACTTTTGTTAATCGTTCTTGTAAAATGACCTCAAAATCTTCAGCATGTGTTGG